TCATACGAGCTATGATTTGGCTCCTAACGCTAGTAAATGCATGTATGCACTTCGTACCAATCCCAATAGACTCAAAAGCTGTCGTGTTTGCGAAAATTGTGGCATAGAGTTCTCGTCATGGAAATCATTCCTTGAACATGGGAAATGCACATTAGATGAGGCTGACTCCGACGCTGGAGAATCGTTTCATGGATCAGACCTTGAGGAAGGTCTCCCTAGAAAAGGCTATGAACACAATTGGTCAAAGAGAAAGCGGTCCTATAGGGCCGCTAAAGTTGACCCTAATTGCCCTTTGAGCGAGGAGGAAGACCTCGCTCATTGCCTTATGATGCTATCAAATGGAATAGTAGAGCCTTTTTCTGTTGCCGAGACCGAGGAGTCGTGCGCCTCCGCAAGCAAAGATGACGGGAGAAATCACCAACTGAATCATTATAACCAGAGTTACAAGAGCCCAATTCAACATGAAAAGGCAAAACTAGTCACCCCGAAAGGATTATTCGAGTGCAAAGCATGCAAGAAAGTTTTTAATTCTCATCAAGCACTTGGTGGACACCGCGCCAGTCATAAAAAGGTGAAAGGTTGCTTTGCAGCCAAACTTGATCACACTGATTTTAATGCACCATCAGACCAAGCTCATGCTATGATCACGCAAGCCGAGTTGTATCATACCGAACGTGAACATGATCACATGGGATCTTCTGTGAAAAAGAAGGCAAAAGTACATGAGTGTTCTATATGTTACCGTGTGTTTTCCTCCGGACAAGCTCTTGGAGGTCACAAAAGATGTCACTGGATCACATCAAAAACTTCGCCAGACCACGCATCCCATTCAGTTGTTAAATTTGATAATAATCAATTTTACGATCAAGCTGCCGTTGCAGTAAATAATTTTCCAAAGGATTCGGAAACACTTGATCTAACACTTGATCTAAACTTCCATGCCCTGGATGCTAAGCCACAAAACAACCATATTTCTCAAGAAGTATTTTTATTACCATGGGTAGGAGCCGATAACTGTGAAAAAGACAAAATCTACTCAACAAAAGAGAATATAAAGCAAATAACGGACAATGGAATAGAGACAAAGACAAAGTTTGCTAAGCTAATTGAACTTAAAGAAATGAAGTCAAGTGAAACTTCATCGCAGTGGTTGCAGGTAGGCTTTGGTTCGACATCAAGTCAAGCGGGAAGTGACCCTTAATTAGTAGTTTTAACTTTTACCTCTACTAAATCTTTTTCCTTTTTTTTTTTTAAAGTTTGCCAAATAGTTTTGTATCTTTTCATGGACGGGTTTTCAGTATACTTCAAAACTCATAATTTTTACGTAACCCATCATACTAAAATGAATGGTTCAGTTACTTATACTCTCTCTTTTTTAAAAAAAAAAAAGTTTATAATTTTATTTTTTTTGTTGTCTTCGTTGAAATTTATGGAAAGTCGGATCAAACATTTCAAAGATAACTTATACTCGTATTTTAAACCTCTAAAGAATTTTATTTTCATAATGAATATTTACATTACAAATAATTTGATGGTGCTTAGTCTATCCTGCAATGTCGACATCGGTCTCTGCTGGATCCCATCACATCAACGATGGCGGCTAGGCCACTGAATTGGACCGTAGATAATACTTTGAAGGTACACGTCAAATGACTAATGGCCAAAGTGTTCAGCGTTGCACAAAAAGGAACATACTCGGGCCAAATTAATTAATTAAGAAGAATTAGAGCCGCATCGTTTAGTTTTCACAAGATGTTGGGTAATTTTTTTATTGTTGGCTTGTAGTCCTAAACCATCTCTCCAGGTAATTTTTAGGGACATATTCAAGCTTGATTTTCTTTGTGTGGTAAACCCGAATAAACACGAGATCATTTATTCTTTGCATGCCCATACATATACAAAGTGGCATAGTGGCAACCTTCTAGGGACACAAGCTTATCCCGATTAAAAGAGTATCACTATGGACCGCCTTGCCACCCCACGTATAATGTTATCTTCTTCTTCTCCCTGGCTAACATTCTAAGAAGCGATATACCATGTTTGAAAAGTGTGAAACACGTGAAAAACCTGCATATTTCTCAATCGGCCAAATATTCTCAACACCTTATGTTACCAAGCATAGATTAGACATACAACATGGTGATTCCAGAGGAACAATTACGTGGAGCTGATCGTATCATCGAACAGCGTGTTGAAGCAACAACTTTTGCTGCTCAACCAATGGGAAACAAGACACAAGCCTAAATTCAAAAAAATCAGGTATGTACCCTGCCTTTAAAACAGGTCATACTGTTGATAAATGTTTCCAGGATCATAGTGTTTGATCCTGATTGGTGGGATGAGAAATATGGAAGTGGAGCTACTGGTTTTGGTCGTAATCGTGATGCATCACAAAACTATGGCATAAACTTCCAACAGAACATAGGACGTGGTTGTGGTCAGACTGTTAAAACCAATCTGGTGGCTGTTGGTGGTTCAGATGTAGGACAATCAATCAACTCAGAATGTTCTGTTCACACATGACTCAAACCTGAACAGTGGGGAAGCTGGGTAGATTTCTAGACAGAGGTACATCAACTCGTCAAGTGGTAAGAAATTTACTTATCAATGAGTTTTTGATAGTGATGCAACAAATCAAATCATATTATAGAGCCGGATTTGAGAGCATTTTTTTTTAAACATTTGAATGGAGCCCCCAACTTTTAGGGCCCACTTAAAAAAAATTCCAATTAATGTGTTATTAATTCATTGAAAACATGTTTATTTGATGAAAAAAATTAAGATTAAGTGAGATAGCAAAAAAAAAATTGTAGAATTTAATATTTTATGAGATTATATTATAAAAAAGTAAAGATTTTGAGTATGTTTTTAGGGGTTCCACTTAAAAAAAAATCCAATTTATGTGTTATTAATTCATTGAAAACATGTTTATTTGATGGAAAAAATTAAGATTAACTGAGATAGCAAAAAAAAATTGTAGAATTTAATATTTTATGAGATTATGTAATAAAAAGGTAAAGATTTTGAGTATGTTTTTTTTATAATTTTATCAAATAAGTAGATATGAATGTATTTTTATTTAAAAAATATATTTTTTTTGAAAATAGATTAAATGTTAATTATTTTTATCGTAGGACCCCGATAATCTCAGACCCGGCTTAGCATATGATTGACTAGCAAACTGGATTGGTTTGATGATTTATGGGATGTGAAACCGTGTAGTATATGGGTTCACCAGACTTATTTTAAATGTTCATTTGTCACAAACTTTTGTCTTATTTTATAATACATGTACAATTTAAAAATTTAGAAAATAAATTAGGTTTTGAATAGTTATAGCAGATAACTAGATCGTGTTTTGTTTATGATTCATAAACAAACTTTCTTCCATTCAAAAACATTATTATTGTTATGTGTTACCATTGTAAGTTTGTTTTAGTTTGTAATTGACAAGTAATAGTGATAGAGTGAGACAATAAAATTCCTCAGGAGATCCAAAGCTTCCGCTGACACACACAACGTTAAAATTGGTCCAAAGATTAATACTAAGTTAAAAAAAAGATGATGGCGTCCGTCTCACTCAATTCCACACTCTTAAAAAAAAAATGATTTAATTTGTTAATCTTAAATCTAATAATAACAATTAATATCTT